CGAAAGAAAATTTCGCAAAGACTTGACAAATTAAATGAAATTGAATAAGATCGGTAAAGTTTAAAATACCGTATTTATTCAAATAAACGCCCAACCTCGAATTAGCGCCCTCCTCGAAAAAGCGCCCATCCTAAAGGCAGAAAAAGTTAATAAGCGCCCAGCCTCGAATAAGCGCCCACCCCCTCCTCCTCCCAATCAAACTCAAGTAAGCGCTCACCCCCACCCCACCCAGTTGAGTGAATAAATTCTAATAAGAGACTTCCCCGAAGACGGAGTTTTTTTCAGAGTATTTTACAGGAACCTTGCTTTGCTACTTCTTCGCGTTTTGTTATTAGCATTTATTGCTTTGTTGCAAAATAAACATACTTCACTTGCTGAAAATGGTGAACATTTAATAAGCGCCCAGCCTCGCATAAGCGCCCACCTCGAATAAGCGCCCACTCTCAAGCTCCAAAAATTTAATAAGCGCCCAGGGCGGTTAATCGAATAAATACGGTAGTAAGTAACTTTTTAGGTTTGTTGTCATGCAAAATTTTTGCTGCTATGGCAACGTGACAAAACGACTTCTCCTCTCTTTTCAAGCCGCTTAATACAAACACTTTCTATGGCCCCCTCTGTGACCGTATTAACGGGGATTGACTGTACTGATTACAACCATGTCTAAAACACTGGTGAAACATGCTGTTCTAAGAAAATTATCCTGTGTTAAATTCATGATCACCAACTACCAGTAGCTCTGTTGAACGCATAAAAAAGCCGGTTTTTTGTGGTTTAATACTGCTGTCTTAAATATTGCTTTCAAGGTTTTGAGTCAAAGCCAAGTGGTCCTGACGGAAAGTGGACTGTTTATGTATAAGTGAGCGTCCCTGTGAAATAGTCCTCTAAAAATAGTGCGTTATGGAGCCCCGACAGAAGGAAGTGCCAAGTCAACGAAAGAATAGTTCATCGCTCAAAACAGTAAGTCCTGACTCATGGGGTCACAAATTGCTTGGCTATAGCTGTTGTCGTTGCACAGAGATGATCAAACAAATCAAAGGCCAAATTGTGCATGCACATCTTAGTTATTAACCTTCCAATGACAACTGTTGACAATTACAGTCGAACCTCGTTTTGCGGACACTCGCTTGATACGTCAGACACCTCGTTACTATGGACAGTTTTCTTTGCGCTCGGGGAAAGCCCTTGCATTTTCTCTAAATTGAATCTGCTTAATAAGGACACCCGTTGAAGCAAAATTAATAGAGACCTTTATAGCATCAGGTAAACCGCAAACCGCAAACCGCAGTTACGCGTTTGCAGTTTCGCGTTTCCGAGATTTCAAACTTTAGCAAGGCGTTCAGTTCAGTTCAGTTCAGTTCATTTTTATTTAGCCAAAATATAATACAATACAAGAATACATATTGGAATTGTAATGTTGCAAGGGAGCCCAGAAGAAACCAGAAGGCTTTATGAAGCCTGGACTCACCAGTCTCAGAGAAATAAGCAAAATAAAATGAAATTCGCGGAGTGATACGTTAATAAAAAATAGGAACTAAAGAGAGACTGAGTTAAGTTATGAATTCAGTAACAAAACAGAAAAAAAAAAATTAACTCTGAATCGGAACAGAATACTTTCCTTTGTTAGTACGGCAGAAAGAAATATAAAATTGATTTAAACTACGCGTTCATTGTTTAGAGCCGCCATGTTGTTTTCATCAAGTCGAAGTGCATCACTTTAATCGCCCAAAAATCAGCAATGATTCATTGATTCGAGATCAAAAATTCAACAAACTCATCGCAAACGGGTATAAAAAGCTAGTTCATACCTTTAAACGCGAGGCTGTACAATTTTTTGTGGCAAAAAACCTTGCCGTAAATCACTTACCGCTGGAAGCCCTTCCTGCGGTTCAAACGTGAACTGCAAACTGCAAACGTGACCGCAAGGCCGTGGTCACATGACATTTTGCGGTTTGCGGTTTGCGGTTTGCGGTTTGCGGTTTGCGGTTTGCAGTTTCCCATGAAAAACGTGATGCTAAAGGTCTCTAATATGTTCGTTCACAGCCGGGAACTGCCATTCAAAACAGAAAGAGGAAAATTAGTATGTTCATGGCCGGGAACTGCCGTTCAAAAAAAAAAAAAGAAAAAGAAAGAAACCAGTAATTAAGACTACTGTCTCCCGCCAAAAGTCTCAGGTTTCTTTTTTGAACCGCAGTTCCCGGTCATGAACATATTAATTTTACTTTTTCTGTTTTGAATGGCAGTTCCCGGCCGTGAACATGATAATTTTACTTTTTCTGTTTTGAATGGCAGTTCCCGGCCGTGAACAAATTAGTTTTACTTCTGCTTTTATCTCACTTTTATTTTATTTTTTTTTTTCATTTCATAATAAAAATGTTTTGTTTTATTTTGAAAGTTAACAAAATGAATCTATTTCCAGTTCAATGAAATACAAAATAATTTGACGTTTACTTTCGCTTTATTTTCCAATACAAAATAATTTAAGTTGAATCTAAAATTAACAAATTTATGTCGTTTTGACGTATGGTAGTTGTCGGCCACCATACATCTGTCAATTGCTGGGTACAGAAAAACTGTTTTTGAAATACACTAAAACTGAAGAAACAGCTAGCTGTAAACTGATCCGAAGTTTGCTGCTGTTTCTATAAACAACTTGGGAAGTCACAGGCCAATTTTGCCCGGCCCAATACATTTCTTCAAACATGATGTTCTGTTCTATGGTGTATTTTTCCACATAGATTATTGGAATGGAGCAAATGTACATTCAAGACTACTTTACAAACTGTCAGTAAAACATTGTTAACTGACCTACACATCGAAAACACAGGTGCAAGCAAAGGAAGGCCGGAATCGAGAAGAGAAACCTGTCAGACGACTTCACTTACGGAAATTAACTTAATCGGTTCAAACGTCATTTACTCATGATTAAAAACAGTTTATGCCTCAGCTGTCTGCACCATTAACTTAATTCCGTGCTACTTATTCAAAGGAGGACAATTAAGGAAAGGAAACCAGCTAGCAGTGGCTGTTATTGAGCAATAGTTTTTGTAAAACATTTTCGGCAAATGGGGGTGTGGAATATGTACTGAAACGGTGCTTTTTCTGGAGGAACCTCTGAATCCAACACAGACTTCCTTGACTTCATATGCCTGTCGCAAACTGAAGTTTGCTTCGTTTTCAGATCAGTCAGCCATAACAGAACTTGTGAGTGAAGGTAAGGAACAACCCCAGTAAGCCGGGAAATCGGTGAGAGACGAACAAAATATATTAAGCGGCGGTATAATTTAAAAACCGTGATGTGAACAACTACGAAAAAACTAAGAAAACCCTTGAATAATTTTCCAGCGGGCAGCAGAGTTCTCGGATCGTGAAGTTATCTAGTTGCTGAACGGTTTTTAAAAACGCGAATTTTCTCCTTTTGTTAGAGATGTTTCCATTAGCCATCTAAAAGACAATGGACTCTGGAGCTCCTACACACGCACTTACGACGTAAACATGAAATCGAGGCCTAAGGGCCACATCGTAGTTAAATGTGGCAGAAGCGCATCCTAAAACTTCGTCAAATATACTTCTAACAATGTTACCCTGTTGCGCTTCGTAATAATCGTTCCGATAATAGGAAAGACTTGATGCTTCATGTATTTCCGAAGGATTTTTGCCGAAGGTTAGTTTTTCCACTGACCACTTTCCAAAGCACGTTCATTTCAGGGGCACCCAACAACCGTTTCCACCTAAATACGCTATCCAGAGTACTTTTAGATGTCTAGAAATGTATTCTAGGCCTCGCTTTCATCCTTACGTCGAAAGTGTGTATTATGTTTAGATTTCCTTTTGTTACCTCAAAAACTTTTGACTACTTGGTTGATTGTTCCAGGTTCTGACACTCAGGAGCTGTGTCTCATTGAAAATTTGAACCTTAATAATTTCAAGTTACACTGAAGATCGATAATATTTAGTAACAACCTAAAAAGGCGCACTTTAAGTCTGCATGCTGATGAAAACTAGCGGCTTCAATTCATATGAATTTTCTTCAGCAGTATTTCCACTTGACACGATTTGTTTTCCTTCAATTTATTTTAAAATAAAGACCGGAAGTTTTCAAATTTCGAATTGACTTTGACCACTTCTGGAAGTTAAATTGGGTCAGTACTTTTCACATTATCTGTTCTATCAAATATTTGGGTAGAAGTAGAACGACTAATAACAGCCGTGCCCGAAATCCGGACGTGGGTATTTGAAAAAAAGGTGTACTATATTCACATTAAGTGCTTAGCAAGTACCTTACTCGGCCACCGTGCCCTGGCACCTCGTCCGTCCTGGTAATGGAGATGAACGAAATGCTCGTTAAGGATAGTCAGATCGAAAATTTTACAAAAGATATTGAGGTATGCAATTTACCGGGATCTTATGAATAAAGGGTCCTTACCAGGAGGTTTTGTTGAACACCGATTGAACTTTGTTGAAAAAAAGGTTTAAAGTTAGTTTCTTTGAAGCTGTGTGATTACTATATGTAACAAAATTATTTTTCGTCGTTTTGTAAAGTTTTCAGTTTCAGTTCCATTGGAAATTATTGCAGCTGGGAAGCCATCAGGCTTTGCAGTTTTTATCGCTCGTCTTCGCGTTGTGCTGCCTTTCATGCGCAGTTATTTAACACTGTTAAATTAAATACCAACAACAGAAATAAACTGCCACTGATTCAAATTTATTAAAATGCCATGCTTTACTCGCAGCACGTCACTTTCCATTGGAAACTACTAGTTGGAGTCATGATCGAGTCAACGAAACTAACAGCTGAATTCAAGTTCAATTTTATATGAAAAACTTCGGTCGGGTTGAGGTGAGCGCTCTTTTTTAGTCTCTATTACAGAACTCGACAAAGTTCCTATTTCACCTTCTACAATACAAAGTACATGTCGTACTTTATTTCAATTCTTTTAGAGGTAGCCGATCAACTGGAAGAAGACAGGAAATAAACAGGAGCAAAGCGAAAAGAGAAATCCACGATGCTTTCGTCATCTGAGTGCATTACCTGGTTTGCTGTGGTCCTGGTCGTTTCTGTTGCTATAGTAACAGTGAACCTACTATCAATCATCCTTTTCATAATAAACAGTGATCTTAGAACTCGTGGCATGTACTTGGTTATAAACCTAACCGTAGCTGACACTTTAGTCGGAGCAATTTCCAGTCTTCAATTTCTAAGTTTTTCAAGCACCGAATACAAAAATGCAAATAGCCTGAATGTAACGTTTAATTGGGAAAGGTACATGATAACTTGGTTTCTTTTCTATTGGTTTCCTCTTACTTCTCTTACAAATATTACTGTAATTTCGTTAGATCGGATGCATGCGACATTTCGTCCATTCAGGCATCGAGTTATCAAAAAATGGGTCTACGGGGTAGCAATTTCTGTCGTCTGGGTTTTAGCTGGAAGATATCAACTGCAATTATGATGCTTTTATCAGTATTCGACAAAGAATGGTCACACCGGTCCGTGTAGTTTTCGTTCATTTCAAAAATTTACAATCAAAAATTTACAATCTCAATTTTCAATGTTTGTTGCTAAGAAAGGTAAAATTGAACATCATACTTCAATATTTTGAAAATCAAAAACTAAAAATTGAAAATGGCCAGTAAGTGGTTTAAACTTTTTGTTTTCAATTTCCTCCTCCCGAGATTCAAGCTGTCAAAAATTCAAACTTAACAGAGCAATTCATGTGTAGCAAATTCTGCAAGAAACGGTATTACTGCTGGTGAAATCCAAAATAAAAATCGTTTTTTGATTTGCGTATTTCTGAAAAACAAAATTGCCAACCGACCAAAAATACCTGTTATGGAAGGGGAGGGTAAAACCGGAAGTGGTGCGACTGTAAAGAAGATGGCGGTGGTCTTGAAGTGAACGAGTGTTCCGTGTCTTCGTCGAGCTGTCTTTAGAGGAAATGTTAAGCCAAGGCCTTCCTGTAGCATGGCCGAGACGCTTTCAACGAAATGAGCTGAATGTTTTTTCACTGGTAGTACGCTTTTGTTGTAACCTTGCAGCATTGCACTACGCAGGGTAAAGCGTTTTAGAAGAGGGACTGCGGACTGCGAACTGCGGACCACGGACTGCAGACTGGGTGTATATAAAACACGGACCAGCTGCAGGTATATAATGCGAACTACGTGCCATGTTTTGGTCTAATAATATTGTCACTCTACCGTAACCGCGTGTATAACTCCTTTAATGTTGTTGTTAAAGTAAAGAAATGTTGGCTCTAACAAGAAAACCTTTTAGAGATCTTTCCCTTGCGATAAGCAACATTGGCGGCGTTAGGATATATTTGCGCGAGTGTTTTTTGCCTGTAATAAGGTGCTAGTGTTTTATTAGAATCTTTTTGAGAATCGGAGTTGCGAGATTGAAAGTCGCTACAAACGGCAAAATCTTTTTTGATGTTTTGGGTTTGTCTTGTAAAGCCACAGTGCGCGATTCGAAGCGGACTTCGGTTAGGATTGTTTCCACGAGGTCCCGGAGGTAGCTTCGTTCTGTAAGGCGAGTTAAAAATTCCTTCTTCTTTAACTCCAATTATTCCTTAACCGAGTTTGTTCTAAATAAGCGTAAGGCTTCTGTTACCGCCAAATATTTTCTGGTTTTTCGTATCTCCCAGGTATTTCCTTTCAAACCCTTTGTAGTTTCGTTAGCATTATTATCTTATAGTATTTGTGGTTTTTGCCGCGGATATACCTGCGTACGTATGATTTACAAACAAAGAAATCTATCATCCTTTGCATTAGTTAGCATTGTCGAACGTGCTCAACAAACTTTTTCAGTTCTAGTCGACGTGTCATCGTGTTAAGATCAAAGTAAGGCTCAACGTCAACGCTGTGAAATCCCTAAAGTAAGTAAGTAAGGAAGTAAGTCTTTTCACTTTGTGCATGGTATGTTACGTTTTATAAAGCCTTTTTGCATCGTATTAATGAAATCCAGAAAGTTTATTTTCGTAGTTTTAAGGTAGTTTCTAATTAATCTAACTATAGTTTGGTACAAGGTATTTTTCCACTGAAAATTTCAGTTTCTCAATTTCGTGGTGGATTCCGTCTTAATTTTTTTCTTTTTTTTTTTTGCTTGAGCATTCAGTTGCAGGAGTTAAATTTTTCGCATCAATGTAAAAATGCCATAGAATTTCAAAACATTAGCCTAACATTTCTTTTCAACATTGTTAACGTCTCATCGCTTCGCTTCAATAAACTTTGTTTACATCCTTATCGTCGTGAGCATCATTATTGTAGCGAAACTTCTTAAAGCGCGTCAAGAATTTTCTGTCTTAACGTGGGATCATCGCGCTCACAGCTTCTCCATATGCAAAGCTCTTCTTAAGGCTGAGAGGGTAAAATGAGGAGAAATGCGTATTTTGAAATGTTTCTGTCGGCTTAAGAGGTCTCAAAATGTGTTTGAATGAATCTTGGTTCTTTAAAAACTTCAGTGTCAAGGAAAACAATCTGTTTTGATGACAGCTCGAGTGTAAAATTTATTGTTGTGCGGAAAGAGTTCGTGAAATCATTAAAGTTGTTGATTTCGGTTTCAGGAAGAGTCCACACTGGGAATATGCCTAAATCTCTTACAGAGAAATGGTTTGCAAGGGCTCGCATGTAGTAGTTGTTTATCAAAGTGAGCCATGAAAATGACCTAGAAAGCATATAAACCGCCATTTTGGTGCTCATTGCAAGTGCCGTGTGTGACTGCACGTAGTGTTTGCCGTTGAATTTGAATTAGTTTTCTCTTAAGATAAGTGGCATTAAGTCCTCCAAATATATATGAAGTAGGGATAGGTAAATTTGACTGATAATGCTCTTCGTAATGGCGACAAACGATTTCGATTTCCGGAAATGTTAGTGCAGAGAGAACACATGTCCAACGTAGCTCAAATTGCTTCACCTGGAAGTGGCATGTTTTCAATGAAAGTGTACAAAGTGTGTAGTGTCCTTGATGTAAGACTCTTGTTTTTGCGCGATTGGTCTTTTAAAAGCGAGTGCGAGTGCGATCTGTGGCGGCCACCGCTACCAGAGACGATTGGTCTGCCAACAGGAAGAGTATTATGTATTTTGGTCATCGTGAAAAACTATGGTATTCTCGGTGATTTTGGCCTTAACTGAGCCACTTGATAGACTTGCCCACAAGTCGAGCTCAATTTTTTTTCCCGAGCGCGAAGCGCGAGCGGTAGATTTTTTAAGTTTTCTGCGGCAAGCGAGCGAGAGAGCGAGAACAGGAAATGAGAAGCGAAGGACTTTGAGAAAGTCTAACTAAAATAGCACGTAGTTCGCATTTTATACCTGGTCCGTGTTTTTTATATTCCGTGGTCGGCAGCCCGCAGTTTATACTGCCGATCCGAAACGCTCTACCCTGCGTAGAGTAATGCTGCAAGGTTACAACAAAAGCATACTTACCAGTGAAAAAAACTTCAGCTCATTTCCTTGAAAACGTCTCGGCCATGATACAGGCAGGCCTTAGATTGCTGTTGGCGTAACATTTCCTCTAGAGACAGCTCCACGAAGACACGGAACACTCCCAACCTCGTCCCCAGGGTCTTCTGGAAAGCGGGAAGACCCTGGGGACGAGGTTGGGAACACTCCTTAACTTCAAGACAACCGCCATCTTCTTTGCAGTCGCGCCACTTTCGGTTTTACCCTTCCCTTCCATAACAGGTATTTTTGGTCCGTTGGCAATTTTGTTTTTCATAAATACGAAAATCAAAAAACGATTTCTATTTTGGATTTCACCCGGCAGTAACACCGTTACACATGAATTGCTTTGTTAAGTTTGAATTTTTAATAGCTTGAATCTTGGGAAGAGGACATTGAAAACAAAAAGTTAAAACCACTTACTGGCCATTCTCAATTTTTAGTTTTTGATTTTCAAAATATTGAAGAATGATGTTTAATTTTACCTTTCTTAGCAACAAACATTGAAAATCACGATTGTGAAGTTTTGATTTTCAATTTTCAATATTGAATGAAAATCAAATGGACGAAAACCACACAGACTCACACTATCAATTATATTCCTTATTATGTCTTTTTGTTATCTGTGTTTGTTACGCCTCGATTATTGTCAAAATTTGTTGTGGGGCGCGTCCTCAGCACCATGGTGCAGCCCGTAGACATAGGAAACTGACTGTCACACTACTCATCATGACTATTGTATCATTACTCTTGTGGCTACCATTTACTGTAGCTACCTTTGTTTATCATACAACTGATAGCATTCGATCACTTTCTTACACAAAAATAAAGCGATTGAATATATCTTTACTGCTTTTATTTTATACAAACTCGTTTGTTAATCCCGTGGTTTACACAATAGGAATGCCCGAGTTCAGGAAAGCTCTCCTGTTATTATTTACACGTCGACAAAGGCAAAATGCTGCTGCTGCTATTCTTCTTCATGCTCGTTAAGGTACTTTGGGTAAAACTTTCGATTGCAAGTGATCGCAGGTTCAGTTTTAGATGATGATGATTTTCTCAATTTGGGTCGATGAAAATACGATAGTATAGATACATAAGATGCTATGATTTGAGTTCCCCATAATACACTTGCTATTTGCCCCCTTTCTGCATAAACTATTGGGAGGACTGAATATTTTCTTAAGAGCTTTTGAAAGCAAGAACTTTTGCAAAATGTGAGAACAAACAGAGTGTATTATGAGGGATTCGAAAATAGTAAATATACATATCAGTTTTCCTGTATAACTTGTCAAGCTCGTTAATGGTCTATAGCTGGAAATTGAAATGGTTTGAAATGTGCTTCAGAACTTTAAAGTAGATCATGCACAGGTACCATGGCAATTTGTAATAAGCCGTGTCGCACTTTGTAATACCTGTCGCAATTTGTAATAAGCCGTGTCGAACTTTGCATTAAAATGCTGTCGCATACAATTTGTAATAAACTAACCTGTCGAGTTTTCAGTTACTATTTTCATCATTCTTAAACCTGGTTTACTTGAACATGGTTTGTTTTTGTGAATGGGACATAACAGGTGTTTTAAACCATTCATTGGAGTAGTTATTATCAATCCAAAGCATGATGAGATGAAAAAATATAATTGTCATGAAACTGTTGTTAAAATAGTCAGTTGAATTCATTAGATGTGATAATAAGGTCTCATGTGTTAGAGTGATTTCACTAAACCAGTCAAACAGTATGTTACAATAAGCGCCAAATAGTTACAAGTCAAAAAAAGAAAACAGCGAAACTAGAGAGTAATAGTTCGTATTACTGCGTCTACTATCTATTTTTTAGTAGCCTTGTATGAAGCAGATAACATGATCAAAACTGATACAAGAAAGAGCAAACAAAGAATACTTTATTTTGCTTCGGCTCGTCACCGCTTTTCGCAACTTAACTCAATAACACTTTAATATTTGTTGTGTTTTCCAGGATCGATTAAGTCTATCAATCCTGGAATCAGAACAGACCGATTATCATAAATTTCATTTTTTTTCCCGCGAGGTCTGTCACCCAAACACTAAACCTGTGAGAGCAGAGGCTACAAGCAGTTTATTAATAATTAATTTCCGTACGCCAGGTCATATGGGAAAAAGGGAGCCTCTGTTCACAAGCCAAAGAAAAATGGCTTCGCTCACCCTTTAAACCCTAAGATCAAAATTTGAATTCTCATTTGTTATCGCTATTCATTTCCTACAGCAGCAGTGGGGAGAAGTTGATAAAATATCAATCAAGTTCACCGTGTGTGATCATGTCCGTAATTCTCATGACCACTATGTTTTACAAAGCATTGATATCACAAGGAGAAATTTGATGCTGATCTCTCTTAGGGCTTAAAGGGTTAAAGCCCGTTACACAGAGTCTTTGTTTTGGCCCCTTTGTGTGACTTATGTTAAAACAAATTTAAAGCCACTATTTTATTGAAAGCAATTTTTCAAGGTTGCATAACGAAGTGCATAAAACTTTAACTGGCTCAGCTCTTCGTCTCGATACGTCATTCCCACGCATGAAATACCTATGAACTCGCTGGTAGTTTACAGGCGCAAATATACCCTCTAAGAATTAATTTTTGTTATTTAGTTCGAAAAGTGGGGGGTGGCCTGGGGGCAAGACAAGCCACCCCCAGCGCAAATACTAATCATAACTTACTCATTAAGTTAAACGATAAATCAGGATAACCCCTGTAAGGGTATGGCAACGATTGACGAATTCAAACGACTGGATTAATTTTTGACTGAGTGATACGTTATATCTTTTACACGTTTTGTGGCTGGCCTGTTGTGGCTCATCACGGTCTTTTAAAAGTCACTTAACAATTTAGTCAGTTCGCTAAAACCGTTAGAAAAGTAGGAAACATTCCGCTTGCAAACATCACGCTCTTTTCTTCTGTCAGCGGGTTATGGGAGGGAGAACTGTTCCTTGTCTGCTCACTGTTGCCCTCTCTTCCGTCTTGATTCTAATTATTTCAAGGCAGCTGCCGTGCGTCTGTAGGGTGGCGCCTAGAGGAAGCAGTGCAGCTTGCATGGTAACAGCCATACTGGAAGTCAGCGTAGGAAAAGCTTGCGCTTGGCTCGTAAGGTTATCTTGGAGAGATGTCCTGCGATTCCCAGCAGACAAAGAGCGGAGGGGTAGTAGAGTGAAGCGGCTCGGCTCCCTAAAGAGTGCTTGACTTCCTGTTTCAATATATGAAGGTTTCCCAGTTGCCAGAACTTCGTTCGATGCAGCCGCTTACATTTGGCCAGGGACGTATTATTCTTGCCAGATGTCTCTTCGCTGTTTCCACTGGAGATTTAAGACATGGTGTTATATTGAACTCCTCTTGCTGTGAGGTGTCTTGCTGATTTTTGTGTTGACGTGGCAAATGAAAGAAACTATTATCATATGCATCTTTCACTTGTGCCTAGTGCATGTCTGCTTGTCTCCTGATCAATCCCTCATGGAGGGAAATGTCTGAACCAGTCAGTTGATATCCTGTAAAAAGATGGGAAAAGGTATTTTGAGTTGCTGGCAATATTACTTCTGAATTAGAAGATTTTCTTTTTAAGTGTGTGATTTGCAAGAAGATGCTGGGGAAAAGCTTTTAGTACTCCACCCACTCCTCCGCTACCCACCTCTAGAGTCTCGGATGACTTGGTTTTCACTAAAGTTGGTGGGGACTTTACTCGACCGCTTTATGTTAAGAATATCTATCAATCTGGTGGGGAGACGTACAAGTGCTATATTGCCCTGTTTACGTGCACTAGCACTAGAGCTAACCACCTTGAACTTACTCCAGACCTGTCTGCGAATTCATTTATACGAGTTTTGAAGAGATTCATCGGGAGAAGAGGGTTCCCAGGCCTAATAATTTCAGACAATGGAACAACTTTCAAGGATGCTGAGGTGAAGAAGTTTACCCTTGAAAGAAACATCGAATGGAAATTCAATGTGCCTACAGCAAGCTTGTGGGGTGTTTTTTTCGAAATATGCGTCAAGCTTGTAAAGAGGTGCCTCAAGAAAGTTCTAGGAGATGCAAAACTCAGCTACGAGGAACTAGAATCAGTCTTGATCGAAACTGAAGGCGTTCTAAATTCTAGTGCTCATACCAGGTACACCTGCTTTTGAGCTTCAAGAAGCTCATGCTCTGTATGCAGATTTAATGGCTAATGATTTAATCAGCGGAAGAAGTCAGCTCAGCCAGTACAATTAGTAAGATAAAAAATCTGCTCTAACAGCAGAAGGAATCGCCTCAAGACAATCGCACTGCCAAACTCTGGTTGCAGTACATGGACATGGTTGACATTCTGAGAAAATCCATCAAAGCAGAACGCACTGGACACTGGGTACAGCATTTTGGATCTCTTTCTGAAATGCTTCCCTATATGGCAGCTGGTCACAGCCTTTACACCAAATTTGCTCAGTTGTACCTGTAGCCCATGGTCCGTCTAGAGAGTGAACATCCTGTTGTGTACCAGAAACTAATTGATGGATTCCTCGTGGTAGGAAGAAGTGACCGTAAATGGGCGGGGCTGTCCACAGACCTTGTCATTGAGCAAGAGTCACAGCCTGATTACTTCGTTTGAAGGCAAATTCCGTGACAAACGTTCCAGTCATTGACGCTAAGATGCCCTGTCCAATATCCTTAGCGTCATCCAGATTTGCAGTCTCATTTGCATGGACACCATTCATGATGTTTCTTAGGCCTTTTTGACCAGTGAACGGATTTTGCTCAGCTAAGGCACTTAGCAGCGTTTTGGTATCTTTCATGTCACGGTTTTTTCTGGACTCTGAAATGTCCTTAGTTTCCTCGCCGGTGCTGTAAGAGACGCCTGTGAGATCCAGCATGGCACGATTTATCTCAGCACAGACTGGCATTGAAAGGAGCCATATCAGCCGTTGTTGCTCTGTCATGCCTCTTCCTCTCGTTAAGCCACCACTAGTCATCATGCTTCTCATTAGCACCTGCTACAAAGTCATCAGTTAAATTTGATGGAGAGAAGATCCAAGTAGACCCGCAGCTTCTATTCCAGCGTCTAATTGTAGCTCTGAAATCATTGGATGACATGAAAGCAATTTTCAAGTTTGAGCTGTGCAGCTATCCACCTGCTCTCTTTGACTCTTCACTTATGTTACTCCAAACACACAAGCCAGCTCTTGCTAATGCTATTTGGGCTATGACTATGGAAAGCTCAGATGTCACAGCTCCTCAAGGAGAGCTCCAATTTGTTCTGGATGGCGTTGCACTCATTCACCGAATTCCTTGGCCGCGAGGGTGTACTCGAGGTGTATGTGCGTTATACTGCAATTATGTGGACCAGAAGCATGGAAAAGCAATCATTGTCTTTGATGGATACACAAGAACATCCACAAAGACATGACACAGGAAAGACGTACAGGCGGGAAAGTAGTTGCAACTGTCACATTTACTGACGACATGAAACTTATCGTAAAGAAGAATCATTTTCAGGCAAACAAAACAATAAACAGTCCTTCATTAATATGCTTAGTCTTCATCTTCAGCAGGCCAATTGCCAAGTCTACCACTTGACAGCTGATGCTGATTTGCTCATAGTAAACAAAGCTGTGGAAAGTTCAAGAACCATGGACAACGTTTTGGTAGGGCATGACACTGACCTTCTTATTCTACTCTGTTTTCATGCACAGTTAGATGTATTCGACCTCTTTTTCCAACCGGAACCAAGAGCAAATTCCACTAAGCGTCGATCCTGGAATGTAAAGTCAGTGAAGGAAAAGCTTGGTCAAGAGATTTGTCGTCATATTCTTTTTATCCATGCTATTAGTGGATGTGACGGGACCTCTCGAATGTATGGAATTGGCAAAGGTCTTCCACTAAAGAAGTTTGTCAGCGACACCCACTTTCGTGAACACGTCAAGGTGTTTGACAGTCTTCTAGCGTCAAAGGAAGAAATTGTTAAGGCTGGTGAGCAAGTCATTGTTTGTCTTTACAATTGGAAGCCTGAAGAAGGACTTGATGGATTGCGATTACGTCACTATTGTGAAAAGGTGTCCACTGGTACTTCCCAGATTCAACCACAAAGCCTACCCCCTACTTCTGCTGCTGCGTCATACCACAGCATGAGAGTCTACCACCAATTTATCCAGTGGAAGGGCAAAGAGAAACAAGTAACTGCTGAAGAATGGGGATGGAGATTGAATGATGATGGCCAACTGGTACCTATCATTACCCAACTTTAGCCAGCACGAGAATCTTTGTGGCGTGATGTGGGGTGCAACTGCTTGTCTGATTGCAGTAGCATGCGATGCATATGTAAAAAACATGATCTTGAGTGTTCAGCTGCACGTGGACACTGTCGAGGCACTAGTTGCACTAATGCTGCAGCACTCGATTTCGACGAAGATTTAGATGAAGATGAAGATGAAAATGATTGCAGGTCCAAAGGTTTTTTTTTAATGTTGCAAATTTGCATATCAAAGTTCCGATAAGAAAAAACTAATTCATCGCTCAAAATAGCGTTTTTTCTATCGCAAATAGAATTCAGCCTCGTTTTCATGTAACTGATTACGGCCATTATAATTGAACTGAATTTAAGTGTCTTCCCATGCATAGATTTTCCTAGACTTTTAATATGCATATTAAAGAGTCTTTCTTATTTCAAAACTGAAGAAAAACGTCTGTTGCAGTTAGTGACAGGTCCTATCAGTACGTTGACTGGACTACAGCGCTATTCAACGTTTGAACAATCAGGGGCCTTTTTTGCAATGTAAATGAAGTGTGTTTCCAGTTCAGTTTTTATCAGACTTCTAAGCGGTCACTTGCCAGTAAAAAAATAAGACCTTACGATAAGGTGCCAAGTACATAGGATGTCTTTTTTAAATGGTGATCCAATGTCGACAAATGTCAGCACCGAAAAAAGACATGTCTGCTGTCATATGGTCAAACATTTCTTTAGAATCCGATAAACATATTGCTGGTGTAGGTAGCACCTGTCTTTTTGGATCTCAATCCTGAACTCGTTCGGAGCAGTATATTGCGCTGATCTTCCTAGTTCAATATCTTCGATAAATTTCCACCGACGGGTGTTTGTAAGGCGGTCTACCCAGAGTGGGAAGTGTGCTACTTTTAAGAAGGAAATCTATAACATATGCAAATTAGCAAAAACCTTGATAACTTAATATCCTGACTAATTGAAATGTTACCGCCCTAACTGAAAACTAAACATCGACAATCGTAAAGAACAACCCGTCGTAAACTTGTGCACGCACTAATAATGCACAAAAAGCAAAACAAAGAGCTTTAAAACCGAACAAAAGAGCCACTATTATTAACCAAATGAATTGAGCTGCCGGCTCTAAATGAAATAAGTTTATTTGTAATCATGCATCTGTTAATTGCTGGGTACAAAAAAATTGTTTTTGAAATAGTATATTAAAACTAAAAAAAAAGCTGTAAACTGATCCGTGGCTTGCTGCTGTTTCTTTAAACAGATTATAAACAACTTAGGAAGTCACAGGCCATTTTTTGCCCGGCCAAATATGTTTCTCCTAACATGATGTTCTGTTCTATGATGCATTTTCCCACATACATTATTGGAAAGGAGCAGATGTACATTTTAGACTACTTCAGAAACTGTTGATAAAATATTGTTAACTGACCTCCACAACGAAAACGCAGGTGCAAGCAAAGGAAGGCCGGAATCGGGAAGAGAAACCCGTCAGGCGCCTACACCTCAGAAATTAAGTTAAAGGGTTTCAAACGTCACAACACATTATTAAAAACAGTTTATGCCTCAACGGTCTGCATCATTAACTTAATTCCGCGCTACTTATTCAGTGATAATTAAGAAAGGGAAACCAGTGGCTGGAATTGTGCAAAAGTTTCTTTAAAAACATTTTCAGCAAATGGGGGTGTGGATCGTGTACTGAAACGGTGCCTTTTTTCCGAAGGAACTTCTGAATCAAATACGTACGGGGGGACTTCCTTGACTTCATGTGCCTGTCGCAAACTGAAGTTGGCTTCGTTTTCAGATCAGTCAGCCATAATAGGACTTGTGAGTGAAGGTAAGAAACGACCCCAGTAAGCCAGGAAATCGATGAGAAACCAACAAAGTATTAAGCGGCGGTATAATTTAGAAACCGTGATGTGAACAACTACGATAAAACTTAGAAAACCCTTAAATAATTTTCCAACGGGCAGCAGAGTTCTCGGATCGTGAAGTTATCTAGTTGCTGAACAGTTTTTAAACACTTGAATTTTCTCCTTCTTTAAGAGATGCTTACATTAGCCATCTAAAAGACAATGGACTCTGGAGCTCCTACATACACACTTACGACGTAAGCATGAAAGCGAGGCCTAAGGGCCACATCGCAGTAAAATGTGGCAGAAGCGCATCCTAAAACTTCGTCAAAAAATAGTTGTCACAATGCTACTCCGTTGCGCTTTGTAATAATTGTTCCGATAATAGGAAAGACTTGATTCTTCATATATCTAATTCCGAAGGATTCTTGCTGGAGGTTAGTTTTTCCACTGACGAATTTCCAAAGCACGTTCATTTCAGGGGCACCTAACAATGGTTTCCTCCTAAATACATTGATAACGGTTTTTTAGGCTATCCAGAGTACTTTTATGAGAAGCTTATAAGATGTCTAGAATGTATTCTAGGCCTTGCTTTCATGCTTTCGTCGATAGTCTGTATTGTATTTAGATTTCCTTTTATTACCACAAAACCTTTTGACTACTTGGTTGATTGTTCCAGGTTTTCACTAGAGCTGTGTCTCAAGTAACAGAAAAGGATATTTAGTAAAAACCTAAAAAGGCGCACCTTAAGAGCCAATGTCGAAAAATATCGAGAATCTCAAATCAGTTCTAAAAATTCGAATTTTGGCTAATACCACCGAAACAACCCTTTACGTGAACTATTTCAAGAAATCATTAAGAAATCTCCAAGCGCTTTACGTTTTGAGAAATTCGGAAAAGTTCGAAAATTCGATAAAAATACATTTTTTTATTCTCGAAATTGCTGCAAAATTTCAACAATTTTCAAGGAAGCAGCACAAGCGCGGAAAAGCTCCTATTGACTTGATGTTGCACATGCATTTACCAGTTACTCAAAGCTGTAAGACTGCATAAAAATGTCTCGAAAAATAACTTTTGTAATATATTTTTGGGCTTTCATTGCTTGCACCTTGATTATGTGCTGTTTTGGCGGTCGAAATAACGCCCAACTTTAACCGCAAACAGTCGATTCTGGTATGTGTCAAATATAAAATATGATTATACTACATAAAAGAGCTGTAATTCTTTTAACTAGATCTGAAGTTTCAGCTCTGAGAATCTAAACGCTTGCGAAAAATAAAATTTTAAATAGAGCCCCCTGGGCCACCGTAAGCGACAAGAACGTGAAATGTGAAGAAAGCGAAAACCGTGTACACGAAGGAGAAAAATCACACCAAAGTTTTTTCTAGCCCACCGAAGCGTTAAGAAATGAGGGAAATTTCGGCATCTGAATAGGTATTGCTATCTGAAAAGCTAAAAAGGCGAAATTGTCCGTCGGAAAATATAAAAAGAAAAAAAACCTGAAAAAGGAGCAACTGAGAATCGCGTCGGGTGACCATTTTTATATAGACCTTGTCATGGTTTTCGACGCCATCTTGACGAGTACAAGGCAAACGTGTGAGAAATTATAGCTAAATTACAGTGTTTGTATGAGAATCTAATGTCGAATGATTTCCGCAAAACGGCTGTTCTGAAAAAAATATGACTTGTAAACTAAAGCTACAAAACAAGGGATTGTACTTAAAACTTTTTTTGGGGGGGTGGGGGGCGTACCTGTGCTTAAATTTCTCCAGAGGCTTGCTTTAGATTTTCCATATATTTTTCTCTAATTTTTCCCGGGACTTTCTTACAGACAAATGTATAGAAAATTTTAAAAAGTGGTTCTAGGTCTTCTAGCGCATCTAACGCCCCCAATTTTTTTTTTTCAGAACCGCCATTCTACGGAAATTATTCGACATTATAGATTCTCATACAAACACTGTAATTTCTCACGGGTTTGCCTACTGGCCATCTGCGTTTGCCTACTCGTCAAGATGGCGTTGAAAAGCGTGGCAAGGTCTATTCTGAACCCGGAAGTAAAAATGCTTCCGACTGGTCAAGTCCAAAAGGCTTCAAGAGCTGTTTTCAAAATGCGGCAATAAACTATAGACAAACTAGATCAGATGATAGATTTACTTTAGTAAAAATGAACATAACAAAAAGTCGGAATCATGATTACAAATGACACTTTTACAAAATGAGTTTTAAACGCAAGTCTTGGATTTTTACGAAGTTACCTTTCAGAGTTCATTTTTTCTCGTGATGCAAGGCTCTGCAGCTCACCTTCATAACATGACTTAAAAACTAGCAAATAACTGAAATTTCAACATTCCGCTGATTTGTAAAACGGTCGCGGCCTAAAGTTGGTTCCTAAAAGAGACGTGTAACCTGGTGTCATGTTAGGTGTATGGTAATTTGAATAAATTACCCTGGAGCCCCTTCAGGCAATCTTCCACAGGGTACACGTGACAAATGCTATCACCTTTTAGCTCTGAAGGCGTGTGGACAAAATGTTGTGTGGTTTTTCGACTCTTGTTGATAGCAATTTTTGCATTCGGTGTTAATGGGGAATATTCTTGTCAATCTGAATTTATTTATCTGATGATCTTAGAGGACGTTTAATGGTGATCATTTTCATGACACTGCTACAACTGGTGACACTGAATTCCTGCCGGACTTACTGCATGATTCATGCAAAGGAGCGCCGACTTCTTAGCTCCAGTAACCGACGTTGAATATAAATTTTTTGCCCATATTTTCTCTCAACAAATTTATCCTACTCTAACCTCAAGGGCTACTTTTGTCTTTTTTTGTCAAAGGTGAAAGCAAGACTTTTGATTCAATTTTTGGGACGATATCAAGGAATAGCTTAATTAGGATTGAGGTGAGCGCCCTTTGAATATATCTCCATTGCCGGATCTTTGAAGATTTGAAGTCATTCTTTAAAGTTCACCTGCTAACTTTTCTCTTTCAACCAAGCAATCCTTGCTTACTCAGCGAATTCTTTTCATAGGTAGCCGAGCCTGAAAGAAGACGGGAATTAAAAGGTGGGACACGAAAAGAAAAATCCACGATGTTTTCCTCATCCGAGTGCATTATCTGGTATGCTACATTCCTTGCAGTGGCTTTTGCTATAGTAACAGTGAATCTCCTATCAATCATTCTTTTTGTAAAAAACAGTAATCTTCGCACTTGTGGCATGTACTTGGTTATAAACTTGACCGTAGTTGACATTTTGGTCGGAGGACTTTCTTCTATAATGATACTTTTAAATACTATTAGTACACACATTGAATGTAAAATTGTGATTGTAAGGTTACCCCGGGAAGGGAATATTTTAGTGCAGGTCGTTTCCCTTTGGTTTCCTCTTACTTCTCTTACAAACATAACTGTAATTTCGTTAGAGCGGATGCATGCGACGTTTCGTCCATTCACTCATCGCGTTATCAAGAAATGGGTCTACGGGGTAACAATTTGTGTGGTCTGGGTTTTAGCTGGGATGATATCAACTGCCATTATCTTGGTTGATTTTTTCAGCAAAAGTCGGTCACAACATCAGTATTTCTGGCAATCATATTGCTTATTATGCCTTTTTGTTATCTGTGCTTGTTACGCCTCGATTATTGTCAAAATTTGTTGTAGGGCGCGTCCTCAGCACCATGGTGCAGCCCGTAGGCAAAGAAAACTGACTGTCACGTTACTCATCGTGACTATTTTATCGTTACTGTTGTGGCTGCCATTTGCTGCAGCTACCTTTGTTTTCCATACAACTGAGAGCATTCGATCACTTTCCTACACAAAAAGAATACGACTGAATATGTCTTTACTGCTTTTATTTTATACAAACTCGTTTGTTAATCCCGTTGTTTACACAGTAAGAATGCCCGAATACAGGAAAGCTCTTCTGTTATTATTTACACGTCGACAAAGGCAAAATGCTGCTGTTATTCCTCTTCAAGCTCGTTAAGGTACTTTAGGTAAAACTTTCGATTGTAAGTGATCGCAGGTTCAGCTTTAGATGATGATGATTTTCTCAATTTGGGTCGATGAAAATACGATAGTATAGATACATAAGATGCTATGATTTGAGTTCCCCATAATACACTGTTTGCCCCCTTTCTGCATAAACTATTCAGGGACACCCAACGACAATTTTCGGAAAATATCTGTTCGGAAGACGATTTGAGATCT